CAGGTGAGATTTATTATATTGATCACACCGGAGCCTTTTCACGGAGCGCACAGAACAGAATCAACAGCACGGGTAGTAATGACTATGCTATAGAGACATTAAGTGTTATAATTATTACTCAGCTTTTTATAGCCAAGTGCTCACTGTGCATCAGGCACTTTTTCCGGGCTTTACCCGAGTCAGTCACTCAGCCTTCAACCAACCCAACACTTCACACTGTGACAGGTGCTTCTTTACAGGTGTGGCCGCTCAGGCCCAGGAACATAGCAGGGAACATGTTTGTCACGGAGAAGAAAAGTGACTGCTCATCTCAGCAACTCATACCTCCTGTCCCTTGCCTCTGAGGTTGGTTTTCACTCAGCGCTTTGGAGTCAGGCTGAGCGTTTCAAAGGTTCTGAGATCCTGGGATGGAAGGCGCCTGCCTCTACGATCCCCATTTGGAACAGTTCAGAGTCTTTTCATTGTCCATGTTGCCTGGTTAATGTCTCTCTGAATGTCACTCTCTCTTACCCTGAGAGGCGGGGTGAGGAATGCGGCAGGAATGCTCTGAGCCACTTCCGGGGGTGGGGGTGGGGGGAGGGGGGCAGCAGATTTGCCTGGGCTCTGGCAGGTGGCTGCCTGGCTGGGGCAGGGGCGAGGCCGGAATCTGAACCCAGTCCACCCAACTGCAAACCCCACTCACCTTCCCCCACTATTCCAATCGTGTCAGTATTAGCATCCCTGCGTTATCAATGAGGAAACAGGCTCAGGGAGGTGGTGCCACTTACCTGAGGCCACACAGCAGGCGCGTGGCCGCAGTGGGGGTGCAGCCCAAGCCTGCCCGACTTGAGAGGCTCCGGGACAACCTTTCCTCCTGGCTCAGCCTGAACTTGGAGGAGGGCACAGGACCTGGAACCAGAGGAATCTTTGTTCTCCGTTTCCCAGGCCCCAACCCCATTGCCCACTCCTAGTTTTGTGGGTCTGGCAGATGGAGACACAAGGAAGGATGTTCTGCTGTTTCTGCTCTTCCTCCCAGGGGAGCCCTGAATCAAAAAATTAGAAGACTGGGTCAGGTCCTCGTGTCACCCTCTTGACCTTGGACACGCCACTCATTTGTAAAGTTGGGGCAACGGGCTGGTCCCCTGTTGGCTTCTCAGGGGAGCTGGGAGGAGGATCAAGCAATGGGAAGGCCCGGAAAAGGCTCTGAACCAGCCAGGGTTGGAGGACCACCAGGGGGCAGTCTGAGCGTTATCATTCTCCCGTTTCCCCATCGCCGTGGCCTCCCCCTCCCCCCAGCTTTCCCGCCGCCTCTATGCTGTGCGGGCCCCTCTCCAGACCCACAGGCCCTGGGCTCCCTGGGTGGCTGGTCTGGCCTGTTGGACCACATTTCTCACAGGTTTCCTGTCCTCGGCCCTCCAACCCTCTCTTGGGGGACCTCCTCCCACCCCGTTCCCTAAGGGGCAGAAACCAGAGAGGATAACCCAGCTGTCTTTGTGACAAAAACCAAAAGTAAACAAAGGCCTATTTACTGAGTACCTGTGACTCGCCAGGCACTTGAAGTATTCAAGCAGCCCTGAGAATTTCCCCGTTTAGTTTTGATGAAAGCGAGGCTCAGGGGGCCCTCCGCTTAGGGACGTGTAGCTGGAAAGGGCGCGCGGTGGTGGTGGTGCGGAAGGGGGGGGGGGCGGGCAGGATTCCAGCCTGGGGCTGTCTCACTCCCTGAGAAGCCAGACCCTTCGCTCCCTCCCATTCTGCACACCCCACTGACCTGCACGTCCTCCTGGTGACCCACGTCCGAGGCTGGCTGGCTGTCCAGGAAGAAGCCAGGATTAACAACGTGGGCTGGGCTGGCTGCCTCTTCCTCCAGGCTCCATAGGATGTGGGAAATGGAGCCTGGGAACAGCTCTGGCCCTGGGGCCCTTTGTCTCAGCCCCACCCCAGGCCTGAGGGAGCTGCCTGCTGGGCCAGGGAGCAGAGGCCTTCATCTGGGCCCGTGCAGGGCCGGGGCTGCGTGGTGTGGGTGGGAAGGGATCCTGCCTTTGGTGTCATAGATGCCATGTGGAGCGGGCTCCATCAGCAACCGGCGTGTGATCTTGGACGGGTCTCAACACCTCTTGCTCGGAGCCTCGGTTTCTTGGTCTATAAAATGGGACCATATCCTCACCTCATTGGGACGAATGAGCCACGGCTTGCAAGTCGTTAAACGGAAAATGCAGGTTCCCTGTTCACAGGTTATTAAGAATTTCAAGGCAGTGGTAGCAGAGCAGACACTAGGCGCCGGGCCTTTGGAAGTGCGGGACTTGGGCGTGCACAGGTGGCCGGAAGCCAGCACCTGGGTTTGGAGCAAAGAGGCGAGTCCCTCCCAGACAGCTCACCCCCTGGGCTCCCGCGCAGTCTGGAGTCCCCAGCTGCGGGGCCCACACCTTATTCGGCGGGGCGCCTGCGCCATCTAGCGGCTCATTGGCGAGCAGCAGCCTCCGCTCACACCCAGCTGGTGCGGCCTTGGTGGGCGTTGGGATGCTTGAGGCACACCTGCCGCTTCCGTTTTAACCCTTCGTCCCCCCTCAGTCACCACAATAGCCTGTCTTTCTCCACATCTCCCCAAGCACTCACCTGTTCTGTGCCAGCTTTATCAGCGAGGGGCTTTGACCCCTTGGACTGGGCAGGCAGTGGGGGGCGAGGTGGTGGGAGGATCGGTGACTCTTAACTTCCAACCCCTTGCCACAAGAATCCTTGCCCGTTTCAGCTGTTCCCATGAATGTGGTTCGGTGGAGGGAGAGGTGGAACAGGACTGGGGGTTCCTATTTCTAGCTCCCATTAGACTGGATGAGGGAGCCTTGACCGGGCTTTGGGACAAGGGTGTGGGTGGGACTGCAGGTGGCAGGCTTCCTGGTGGGGGTAGAGTGATGTGCTGTAGCTGGAGAAACGTGGCGGGGAATGAACTGATGGTTAGATGAAGAGCGGTGGTTCTCAACCTTGGCTGCACATTAGAATCACGTGGGAATCTTTTTAAAATCCTGATTTCTGGGCCTCATCCTCCGGAAATTCTGTTTCTTTGTTATGGGGTGAGGCCACAATATTAGTAACAAAGAAACAGAATTTCTGAAGGATGAGGCCCAGAAATCAGGGTTTAAAAAAGATTCCCAGGTGATTCTAATGTGCAGCCGAGGTTGAGAACCACTGTCTTAAAGCATCCTGCTGCCCGGCCCCACCCTCAGAGAGTCTTCGTCAATTGGCCTGGGGGAGGGAGGGCCCAGGTGTTAGCACTTTTATGCCCCAGGTGATGGTGATGTGCAGCCAGGGCGGAGAACCGTGGCCTAGACCTTCCTGATGCAGGTCACGACCCCAGGTGGGAAGGGCCCCAAGTCCAGGCCCTCTGCTTGGGCCGATGTGTGCGCCTTGCTGGAGGCGGACCCGTGTCCAGCAGCCTTAGATGACCACATGGCAGCACGCGGGAAGTGCAAAGAGGGAAGCAGAGCTGCAGCCCCTACGCGTTCCAATCAGGAGAGGCCGAGGGGCCCAGCGATCAGATTGGAGTATCTCCCGCACGCTGAGACGGGGTGGCCTTCTCTGGCACCCGAGCCTCTCCCCTGCTCTACGTGTTTCCTCATCTGCTCTTTGGAGTCAGAGGACCCCTGTGCCCCTGAACTGACCACAGGTGAGTGAGATTTGTTTGAGGTATGCTCAGTTCCCCTCGTAGGAAGGAAGACTGGGGAAGAGTTTAATCTCTCTATAGAGCTGCGTGCTACCCTAGGCCGTCTCCTTATCTCTCTGAGCTTCAGTGTCCTCACCAGTAAAAACCAGGACTCTGCCTTCCAGAATGTTCTACAGTGAGCATGACATAAGATAATGTCTATGAAGCCCCTGGGGCAACAACACCTGGCACATAGTAGAGGCTCCATAAATTGCTTTCCCTCCAAGAATGCCACTCTCAGGTCTGGGGAGGCCCAGACCCACGGGTTCACCAATATCGTCATTTGCTGCTCAGAGGCTGAAGTCATTTGCTCAGCCTCTGGACTCCGGGGAGTGGGGGTGGGGGTGGGGGCTCAGCAGGAGGTGGTGGCAGCCTCTTTATCTCCGTGTCCTCAGCCACACCCGCGAGGTTCCTGACCGTCCACAGGAGAGGGTCTTGGGAGTGGGGGGGGGAGCTTGTTGGAAGGGAGGTGCTGAGAAGAGTTTCCTCTTCAGGATGATGCATTTGCACGTGGCCCTGGGATTTGCATCTGAATTGGATGTTTGCTCGGGACCTCCTAAGTACTAATAATTAGATGCAAATGAATGGTCTGGCCTTCGCTTTTTACAACTCACCTCTCCTGCCCAAAGGACTCAGGGAAGACGTGACGATTAAGAGTGTAAGAAATACTTCTGTTTATTGGTTAGAAGATGGTATAAAATTACAGTGATTTGCAGGCTTTCTGGCAGGGACATGCAGTGCTGGGCTCTAGCAGGAGATGGAGTGGAGACATGGACCCCTGGGCATCAGCTCCCTTCCTGGGCTCTTAAGGGATGGGTCCGACCAGCACAGATGCCAGTGAGAGAGGATTACTGGTCCTTGCCTCCAGGAACAAAAGGAAGGGGCGGTTTGGGTGGTCAGACAATGCCATGCTCAATAACTCAGTCCTGCCCTCCGCAGGTCAGGTGCTGGCCCTCCCACGCTAGTCACGGTAGATTCACATCGTTCCGAAGAACGCTCATTCTTCCCACCGAAGGGAGGGAAACAGGCACATTGGTTTGGGAGGCCATCAGAGGATGGAGGGCGTTTGGCTCAGGCCACCTTGCTTCCAGACACATCGAGGTCTGCTGCACTGTAAGCAGAGGGCGGGGGGCGCGCAAGCAGACACACACGTGTGCAGTACAGTCTAAGCTCAGGCAGAGGGGCCGTCCCCGGGGCGGCGGTGTGACGAGATGAGCATGCTTCCAATTTCATCTTGTCTCTCTCAGGAAGAGGGAGGAGGAAGAGCTGGCCATCAGAGACCGGGCCACGGGATGCTGGGCTCCATAGGAAGTCTTCGGCGGAGAATTCTTCCCAAGTACAGAAGGTGTTTCTGTCCCAGAGTCAGTGTAAAACCAGGAGGGCAGATCAAGGTGTGAGGTTGGTGGTTTAGTCCAATGTCTCTGAGAGCCGGATGGCTGTGTCTGCAGTTACATGACGTTTTGGAACAGCTGGAGGGACCTCATGATGTTGTCATCCTGGGGAGGGGTGAGGGGAGAGAATGGTTAGAATTCCTGAGAAGCTCCGTATCTGGGGATCAAACCTCCAGCGTGGGTTTCCTGGGCAGAAAGACCTCTGCAGGTGTTAAGGCAGAAATAGAATATCAGGGACTAGCTATAGTTATAAGAAATATGAACCATGATGGCCTCATTCTGATTAAAGAAAGGACATTCTAACCTGGCTGGGAGTTGTACAGCCTCAGGACCTGGGAGTCAACCTTGGACCCGGGAGTCAACTTTGGAATGAGATCCATTTTCATTCAAGAACTGCCTAGTATCATGGAAAGATTAACAACCTTGTTGTCCAATGGAGTTCTGCCCCAGCCCTCACTGCCTCCTTCCCCACACCTGTGATTCCTAAACTCAGGCTTAGGAGTTACATGTAATCTTTGTCCCACCCAATATAAGCAGCTGGCTTATGTGTGTGTTTGCAGAGCAGATTTTTGTGGGTGACCTGCTGCTCTCCCTTACTGCTGGAATTATTGGAATAAACACTCATATATGATTCAACCCTGTCTCTACTTGATTGGCTCAAGCAGTGATAGGTAGCCTGGACCCATTGGTTGTCTGGTTTCAAAAGGGCGTGAGAAACGAGGAGTGAGGGCTGGGGCCCAGAAAACAGGCCACTCAAGGCAAGGAGCGCCTTCTCTGGCCTTAAGGAATTGGGAAGGAGCCAGTTAACCAGTGAACCAGGGAGTGTTGCTTCTTTTAAGAAGCGCCAGGCAATTGCATTTTATCAAATGATTTTCTACATCAACCCCACATATGGAGTCTCTGGGGTGGAACCGTGAGATGTACATTTTCCGGATCATCCCGGGCAGCTGTCATGCACACTGTGGTTTGAGAGTCTCAGCTTTAGTTATTTTCCCAGCGATTCCCCTGTTGTCCGGGCAGTGGGTCATCATGCCAGAGGCAGGTAAAAAAATGATGGTGTCGCCCACGTGGGAAGCCTGTAGTCTCACAGAGACCCCCCTGGGCTTGCCCATGCCCCCCTGCCCCTCTCAGGCTGCCTGGCTCAGCCCGCTTGGCCGAGACCAACCGCAGATCACTCCGGGGAGTGGCGATGGTTGGGATTCTGACTTGCTGCCGGTGGTATCAGTGGCTCTGACTTGAGGGGTCACAGTTTGTCATTCTCTCCCTCCCGCAGGTCGCCAAGCCCCGGTTTTCCTTCCCCGATTTAGAGACGTGGCCTGAGATCTCTCCTCACCTCCTGACAGGATTCGAGAAATTCATCTAACGTCACGATCCCGTCTTTATTTTTGTCCATTTTCTGAAAGACACGAGAGGAAGCACTTGAAAGAACCTGGCATTCTGCATTCCAGAAGCGGCCCTTTACTCACCAACGCTGCCCCGAGAAGGACGGTGGTTTGTCACCGGCCGAGAACTCCACCGGGCCCTGGGGAGAGCACCTGACACCAGGAGCATCCTTACAATGAAAGACACGCTCCGGACTCTCATCACTTCATCACCGGCCCCGCCTGCTGACACCCTCACGTGTCTCCTGCCATCTTCCAGCCTGGACATGAGAGCTCTACTTCTGTCACTGTCACTCTGTGACCCTGAGTGAGTCTCTCAGCCTCTGTGAACCTGCTTTTCCCATCGGCCAAGTGAGAGGATTCGACTAGCGTGACTCTGGCGTTCTCTGATACTCTACCGCTAGGTGCGTTTTAACTAAAATGCCACGGGGACCTTGCCATCCTTCTACTCACGGATTAACAAGGATCAAGTCTTCTACCTGAAGACCTCCCAGTCCATCCACCGCAGTTCCCAAGCCCATTTCCCTCGCTCTCTAGACACCCGTGCTCACCACCTGCACACATGTGCTCACACCTGCACACATGTGCTCACCACCTGCACACATGTGCTTCATGACGTCTTCCCTGTGGACTCGGAGCCCCCAAGAATCTCATGGAACTGAGAGGGTGCACGATCCCACGGGTACTTCCCTGTGTTCTTCTGTAGTGTCTACTCGCCTGCTTAACGAGATCACCCATTCCCGGAGAGCAATCCCTTTGTAATTCTTTCTGTTCCCTACTGTGTGCGGGACAGGGTTGGACACCAGCCACTGCTCAGACGCTGTGGGCTGACCGGTCTCAGCTGAGCTCGCGCTCCCGCCCAGGTGTGTACACTTACCTGGAAGAAGACGTCCACGTGCTGCCTGGGGGTGTCCTCCTTGAGCACGGGGTACGTGTATTTCCCCATCATGTCGTAGATGGCCTTGACGATGTCCATCATCTCCTGCACAGGGACACGGAAGCACAGGGTGGAAACCCTGAGGTCAAGCTCTTCTTAGGTGATGGTTTGGGGCTCCTCATCCCCCTTAGGAATGAGAGTGATTACAAGGACCTTCTTTCGCTGGGGAGGGGAGTTAGAAAGCAGACCAGCAGGGCACCTCCTCCCACAGAGGACAGTGGGAAATTCCCTTTGCCTCCAGAAGCCCTTGGGTAGTAGTTGCCTTTTCTTGAGCGTTACCCTCCGTGAGGGTTAATGTTGGGATTGGGGTGGACCTGTTTATGTACCGGTCAGCCCACACTCCGTTTCTGGAAGGCCCTCTCCCCACTCTTTAATTCCTGGGTGGCTGGATTTGTACCCGGTGACCTGTCCCTGTGGCCACAAGTGACCCTGACCACAGCTGACTGCAGCAGAGGTGGACAGCTGACTGAGGCTGAGCTACTCGGTATAGTGTTCTATACGTGCTGCTTTATAAAGTGACTTCCCCAATGCAATGCATCATACACGTTCTCCATCGTGTTACTCTTGCGTGATGTTAGCTGGCCACCTGGGTTTCCACGGTATGTAGTCACTGGAATTCAGGTAACACACTTGCTATCGGGGATATTAGGGTTTTCCCATTTTGGGGGTTGTTCAACAATTTATCTTCAGCCTCTGGGACACCTAATAAGCCCTCAAATATGTGTTGGGCAAAGGCATGACTGAATGAATGAGGAATAAAACACTGGAGGGAACCTTGCAGGGCTGAGGTGAGGGTTGGTGCTCAGGAAGCAGATGTTATGGATGCTACATCCAAGCTTCAACCAAGATGCTGGGCACAGTAGATACCCACGTGCGTTTTGAGGTGGACCTGAGGGCCTTTCACTGGCTAGACCAGTGGTTCTCAACCTTCCTAATGCCGCGACCCTTTAATACAGTTCCTCATGTTGTGGTGACTCCCAACCATAAAATTATTTTCGTTGCTACTTCATAACTGTAATTTTGCTACTGTTATGAATCGTAATGTAAATATCTGATATGCAGGATGTATTTTCATTGTTACAAATTGAACATAATTAAAGCATAGGATTAATCACAAAAACAATATGTAATTATATATGTGTTTTTCCGATGGTCTTAGGCGACCCCTGTGAAAGGGTCGTTTGACCCCAAAAGGGTCGCGACCCACAGGTTGAGAACCGCTGGGCTAGACAGACACCACATGGACTCCGAGGCTCCAAACGTGTCAAGCAGTGAAGGTTCAGAAATTATTTGTGACCATTTCTTTAGAAATGGCTGCACCCACGCTCACCCCCTTCTGCGGGTTTATTGCAAAATAGGTTGTGGCCCATATGATCCAACTGTGGTCTCCTCTTCGCCCCCAATCTCCCTTTTCTCTTCAAGGAGAAAACTGCAAAACTATTCCAACTTTTGGCTCTCACTGTGGCTGTTCACCTGTTAAAATGCAAGCTCCCCTGGGAAGAGTAATTCTACACTGAAACAAACCACTTCTACCCACTTAGAAATCCGCATCGAATGTGTGTGAGCCAGTGAGAATGAATGGATCTATTTAGCCCTTTCTTAGTGCCTGGGAAAGGGGCAGCGTAGGGCAACGGGGAGGGCAAAGGAGAACTTCTTCGTTTTGCCGGACACCAGCTCTGTTCGCCCCAAAGCAGATCCCTCCTCACTGGGACACCTTCCTCACCATGACTGGGCTGTTTCCTATTTCATGAGATGCCTTCTGGTGGCCCCTCACGCCCTTGGCCTCAGCCCGCTCACCTCTTTGTTTATGTATCCATCCTTATTGATGTCATACAAGTTAAATGTCCACCTTAGCTTCTCATGGACGGTTCCTCTCAGCAGGATCGACAGAGCGGTTACGAAGTCCTGAGAAGTGGAAGAGGCATGAGTGACAGTAACACCAAGCCGTCGGCTGGGGTGCAGCTCTGTCTGTGGGTCCGGCTCTTTGACTGATTTGACACCATGGTGTCTCCCATGGCCTCTGTCCCCAGAAGGATATGGCCAAGCTCAGTGAAGAGCAGCGGCTCCCCCCCCAACCCCCCCTTATTCCCCTCCCTGCCCCACTTTTTGGGAAGGAGCCCCCTTGGGGAGGAATGGAGCTCTGTGCCTGCTGATACCTCCAGACACAGGCCACAGCCTCCCTGGAACTGCCTCCTCCCACGGCTGCGGTGATTGTGTGGGTGGTGGCATAGGCTAGAGCAGTGGTTCTCAACCTTCTGGCCCTTTAAATAGTTTCTCATGTTGTGACCCAACCATAAAATTATTTTCGTTGCTACTTCATAACTGTCATGTTGCTGCTGTTATGAATCGTAATGTAAATATCTGATATGCAGGATGGTCTTAGGCGACCCCTGTGAAAGGGTCGTTCGACCGCCAAAGGGGTCGCGACCCACAGGTTGAGAACCGCTGGTCTAGTGGCTAAGAGCGTGGACTCTGGGAACGTCCTACTTGAGTTCAAATCCCTCCTTTGCTGTGTGATCTTGGGAAAGGCAGGCGGCCTTACTTCCCTCTTCTGCAACTAGTAGTACATACTAGCCCCTACTCTGCAGGGCTTTTGTGAGGGTTCAGGGAACTGATACACGAGAAGCACTAAGCACAGAGCCTGCGTGTGCTCGCTCCGTGTGCACGGGGGCTACCAGACTGCCACCGTCGGTCCCTCGAGGCCCTGAGCTCTGGAGGCAGGGCCGGCACCGCTTCTCTCTCTATCCAGGAAATGCTTGTTAAACGGATGGTGGTTTTTTGTCTTCCCTGAGGGCATCTGATGACCAACCCTTTCCCCAACACCCCGTGACTCAGAGCAGAGGAGACGGGGACCCGGGGAGTCCCAGAGACACACGCACCTCGAACTTCACGGAGCCGGTCTGGGTGGTGTCGAAGGCGTGGAAGAGGTAATGGGCGTACGTGCTGGCATCTGCAAGGCAGAGGAGAGGCAGGTGAGGGGAGCAGGGTGCCGGAGCGGGCTGAGAGCACTTAGGACAACAAGAAAGAGAAGAGGGTGGTGCTGGGGGATGCAAAGGAGACGCTATGGAGTGGCAAGCCCACAGGCATGAACCGGATCCGCCTGGCTCTCCTGGGGTTCAGGTGGGAAGTCCTGGCGAGAGCCGAGACAGGCCCTTGCCCCTGCACCTAGCCACCCCCAGAGACAGACCCCCCTGCCTGGCTGTGTGGTTCTTGGCGGACGAATGACAGTGACCGGATGGGGACGCTCTTCTGATTGGCAGTGCTCACTGCTGTGTGGTCCCGAGTGAGGCTTGGCCTCCCCGAGACGCAGCTGCCGCATCGGGAGGAGCACCTGCTTTCTAGAGCCGTGCCGGGCCTTCATGAGGGGGCCCTGTCGCCCTCCCCCCTCCCGGAGAGGGACCCTTTCCAGAGCTCTTTCCTGCTAATGCTTTCCCAAACTCCACATCGTGTAATAAGGGAAGCATCTTGGAGAAGGGAGGCTGCTTCTCAAAAACGGAGCTGGGCCCGGCTGGTGTGGCTCAGTGGTTGAGCATCGACCTATGAACCAGGAGGTCACGGTTCAGTTCCTGGTCTGGCCACATGCCCGGGTTGCAGGCTCGATCCCCAGTGTGTGTGTGTGTGTGTGTGGGGGTGGGGGGGTGGGGGGGGGAGGGGTGCAGAAGGCAGCAGATCAAGGATTCTCTCTCATCATTGATGTTTTTCTCTCTCTCTCTCTCTCTTTCTCTTTCTCTCTCTCTCTCTCTCTCTCTCCCCCTCTCTGAAATCAATACAAATATATTTTAAAAAAAGAAAAGGGAGCCAGGCAGGGTCTTTCCCAAGGTGGACTCACCTCCGTGAGGGAAGAACTGTGCGTAGATCTGCTTGAATGTTTCTTCATTGACCACACCACTCGGGCACTCCTGCCGGAAGGGGACAGTCAGCGGGGGTGTCTGAGGTCCGCCCCCAGAGCAGGAGACTGGGCCCAGCCTTGGGGTCTAGGGTTCCTTATGATCTCTAGATCCGAAGAGGCAGGGAGGGGTTGGGGGAAGGTCCGGGGGAGGAGCAGCCCCACCTTAGGACCGAAGCGGCTTTGCAGAATGACGAGACTTCCTCAGAGAATGGGCTGGGAGGAGGAAGCGTTTGGACTCTGGGAGGAGAAGGACTTGGGTTGGTTCCTGGCTCAGCCCCTTCTAAGCTTTGTGACTTTGAGTCAGTCTCTGACCCTCAGTGTCCTTCGCTGTAAAATGGGCCTAACAGGATCTTCCCAACAAGACTATCGTGAGGTTCAGTACCCGAAATAAGCGGTGAATGAACACGCTGGCTTTCAGGCTTATGTATCAGTGCCGCCAGCTGGGTTAGCAGCCCCTAAACCCCACTGTTTCTGAGGCACCAACCATAGAGTGTGAACGGGTTATGCTGAGCTGGAACCCATCCTGCCTGGAGTCCTTCTTTCCCGCCAGGCGGCCTTGCCTCACGTGCCCTTTATAGAACCGACCTCCCTCCTTTCACAGCGACACCGATGGGGGAACTCTGGACAGACCCCCGGGGCATCTGGGAGAGCTCAGCCCCAGGGGAGCCCGGCGGGGCCTCCGGGGGCCAAGGGTCTTACGTTTTTGAAGCCCCGATAGAGGACCTGCAGCTCCCTCTTGGTGAAGTTCGTCTGGGCCTCCAGCTGCTCCAGGCCCTCAGGCCGGTGGCAAACCATGGTCATCTCCAGCTCGTCTTCAATCTTATCTGGAACCAGAGGAGTTGGCATTGGGATGCTGACCGGGGGTCGCTGTCAGACCAGTCGGGGCTGTCTCCAGGGTCGTGACCTGGGACACAGGGCCGAGGGCCGGGACCACCCTGCAGAGGACCTTCCTGCCTGGATCCCTGCCCGGTCCCTGTCTGTCTCACCACCATCCATGTCTCCAGGTCAGACCCCAGGGGAGGAGCTCGGTGCTGGAGAGAAACACATTCCCAGTGAGGCTGACAGCGGTGGTGCTAAAAATAAGCCCGCATGGAAACATTCCCCTTTCTTTTGAAATGATTTCTTTGCATATTCAATGCGCTGCGCACTGAACATCGGAATATTCTAGAGACACAGGTAAGTGAGCAGATGGATCCACACCCTCCAAATAACAAAGGGAAACAGCCTATCAGAAAAGCATAGATTAGCCCGGCTGGCGTGGCTCAGTGTTTGAGCATCGACCTATGAACCAGGAGGTCACGGTTCAATTCCCCGTCAGGGCCCAGGCCCAGGTTATGGACTGGATCCCCAGTGTGGGGCGTGCAGGAGGCAGCCGATCAATGATTCTCTCTCATCATTGATGTTTCTGTCTCTCTCCTTCTCCCTTCCTCTATGAAATCAATTAAAAAAAATAAAAGCATGGAGTAAACTCTCACCATTTTGGACAACTAGAGAAAGGCTAGCACGATCCAGCAAAAAGTTCAAATTACAGCATGAATATAAATTTAAAAATAGGGATGTATTTTACAGTATCGTTTTGTAATATTTACTAGCTGGCCTGACATCATGGGAACAGGACTGAAATGGGAGCTACTTTATATACATGAAAGCTTCTAACGCATTGACGGGCTCTCAAAATCGCTGTTTTAAGGGGCAGTTTAACCACAGTGCCATCTCATTTTGCACCAGTGATGTAAAAGGTGTCCGTCAATTAAAGGAGAACTCTGCCCACCTCCTGTCGAAGGATCACAAACCCAAACAGGCGGAACTCTCGTCGTCTTTCCATCCCAGAGGGTGAGTGAGTGTTTCCTCTGGGCGCTGCCAGAATGCTTTCTATGAATTTACTCCCATCAAGAATCAATTACCATCTAACCTTTCCTGCCCATCGTTGTCATGCAGGCGTTACCAAATCCATATATTGAACGTGCAAGTCTGGGCTGGCGAGAATAGTGGCGAGGTGGGCAGCTGCGGGGAACGGACCCCACCCTGGCACACCCCGCGGCCACGGAGAGTGAGGACGGGCGGGGTTTCTCCCTGAGAGAGCAGGTGAGCCGTGCGTGACTCTGTGGGCATCACTCTAGTCAGTGTCTGCCTCTTTGCACCACTTTTCCTTTTGCTACTTGGATTTCAAGAGGAAAGGGATCCATCCAAGTGAGTTTGAATCTTGCAGCTTCCCCCAAGGGAACGGGCGTTTGGCTGGGTTTCCAAGGGAGAGGCCGAGGAATTTGGTGACAATTCCTTGTCATCATCTCTCTTATGTGCCTGGCAATACATATCACCGTGTCCTGCTTGGGAGCAGGACAGATTAGTCAACGTAAGTAAGATCCTCTGTTTAGACAACATGGCCGCAGTGGCCAATTTCCTTGTAACTCTCACAGAGCCTTTAATTGTTATTATGTTTGCAGCTAACAAGTAGCAATTACAAACAAGCAACAAACCCCCACATAAATCTAATTCAGAATGCTCATATTTTCTTTAGCTCATTTTAAAATACAAATCAAATTGTTGGTTTAAATCGCCTGGCATTAGATTCAATTGCAATTTTACGTAAAAATGCACAGAGAGCCCTGGCCGGTGTGGGCTCAGTTGTTTGGAGCGTCGTCCTGAAAGGTTTGATCCCAGTCAGGGCTCATGCCCGGGTTGCAGGCTTGATCCCCAGTAGGGGGATGCAGGAGGCAGCCAATCAATGTTTCGATCTCATTTCTCTCTCTTTCTCTCTCCATTCCCCTCTCTCTAAAAATCAATTATAAAACGCACAGATATTTAACATTGAAAAGAGGCAAAAGTTATGTTAAAATGTAAGTAAGGAAGATACAAATGTATTTTTGGAAGAAATGGTGTATTTTTGAAGGTGTCTAGTATACCTTTCCCCATTTATCTTACCTAGAAGCTTAATGATATTTTTACAAGATCGTCTTCTTTCTATTCAGCTCCTGACTGAATTCCTCCTGAGTCTGAGAGTCTGACTCAGAAACTGCACTTGCCTGCCATCTCTTTTTATTAAAAATGCACTAAGTAGTTATTGAAATACCAAATATTAAACCCATTAAGGTAGAACTGGACTTTATTAACAAATGATTAGTTTGCTGTCTGGGCAGCGGGATCAATTCCCATATCAAACGGATTCTGTAACACCTGAACAGTCGGGCATCGCCTGGCGAGCTTTTGTTTTATTTTCCTTTCCCGCCACCCTCTCCTTGTCAGGCTGCGGTGACAGCAGCTACGGAGGGAAATCCATGTCTCTGGACTGGAGATGCTGGAAGCAGCCTGCACACGGGCAGGCGGGGCTTAAACCCGCGGCTCTCGGTTCTCTTACTGTTAATTAGTAAGAACTCGAGTTCACACAGCAATCCAGTCAGCATACACACACATAGAAGCAAGAGTTTTATGGAATCATTCTTTCCCCCATTAATGTGCTATTTTCAACTTTAATCTCTTTCTTTGTAAATCTGTGCCGAGTGTGACCCTCCTGTGCCATGACGGGCAAATGGAAACGACTAATTGGCCTACACTTGAGGCAACCTTGGAGCGGGGAAGCATTCCTGCGTCTCACTCCAGCTCTCTCCTCCCTTTCCTGGGATGCCTCGTGGCTTGGCCACTGTACGTACACTCTGCAGACACTGGGAAGGGGCCTCAGGGGTTTTTGCACCCTCCTGTTGGCCCCGGAGAGTCCCTGGGTGGAGGAAGAGGAAACAGCATTAGTAGGTGGGGGGCCTGCTTGATGGTTCTTTGGAGGTTCGTTAAGAGTCTCCGAGGCCAAACGTTGCTTGTTGTTATTATTTTTGTTATTAAAAATAATAACGAGCCAGTTCCCAAGATTGAGCGTGGATGGTAGAAAATTAACCTAGAGATGAGCAAACCTGTTTGTCAAGTACTTTTAATTTGTAAAATGTTTTCATGCCCGTAAGCCACTCAACCCTGTGTGTGGTGGGGAGTGGGGGACCATTGCCTTCTCCATGCGAACATCAGGGAGATGGGTGTCCTGACACATAAAGAGTGCTCTAAGCAGGAGCACCTTCGAAAGCGATGTACCATCTCTCACTGGGGGTAGTGAAAAGCAGATCGAATAACCAACTGCAGAGGATGCAGAAGGAGAGGCTGGAGAAGATGATGCAGAGGAAGTGGTCCTGACATCTGGGGGTCACAGCCCTTCCGAGTGTGGGATGAAAGCTTCGGGCCCTCAGAAAAGGGAAGGCTCTGCCGCATGGCATTGTGCCTTGAGTTCTCTCAGTGACTTCCTGTCTCTCTCACCCCCACGGAGCCCAGGTGAAGGGCTGGCACAGGTGACCTTCCATTAAGTGGCTTCTCCTGAATCCCAGGCCTGCTGTCATCGACAGCTGGTGACAGACCTGGACCCAGAGTCCCGCCAGCCAGGCCTCTTGTATAGATCTCGCTTCCACGTGTCCCTGCAACGGCTTCTGCTTCCCTTGAGCACAAATTGCAAATGGGCTTGTAGCCAGCCTTCCAGTGGGTCTGCCCCCAGCAAGCTCTGGCCTGTGTACAAGTCAGACCCTTAGACTATGAGGAGCAGGAGGACCCACGCCTTTGGTCTTCTCCCTGGTGAGGCGCCTCCTCTGTCAGGCCCATGACCATGGCCATGACCATCTCCTTCTCCCTGGATGGAAAAATAGTTTCTCCATCCTGCAGTCTCTGGCTGGACTTCATACCCACCCAAGCAGTTTTGAGGTTACAAAGTGGTGTCCCTTGGCGTGAACACAGCCCACAGATAGGTCTTGTTCGGCCTATAACATGTGCTATAATTTTTTTGGAATGCATTGCCAAGATTTTCCTTGGGAAATGGGATTATCGGAAGCTTCGGTCTCGAGTTGTCACAAGGCAATTGTTTCCTGGAGCTGAGCAGTGGCTGTCCCCTCCAGTTCACCTACGTCAGCTATGCCGCCTTCCTGGCCCCGGAGGCATTTCAGCTTTTGGCTCCTGACCTGTGGTACACACCCTCACACCTGCCTGCCTTTCCCCTGCCTCACCCGACTCCGTCTACCTAACCTTCTCGCTCCCTCACTATTTGCTTAACACATTCCACGTTGTTCCACAAATGGATTGAAGCAATTATATGAAATAAATATAATACAATAATAAGAGGTAAAGTAATAAGAAAAACAGCCTCAGAAAATGTGGATTCGATTAGGAGGTCAAGACCACAGGGACCAAGAGAACACAGAAATTCAGGTCATTTGTTCTATGCAGTTACTACACTTGAGCCACAAATTGGCGCTGAGCTCTTATATATGTTTTATTGCCCAGGAGAGGAAAACATATCCGATGCTTCGGGGAGCAGAGCTTTCCTCATAAGTTGTCTCTAAAAGGATGTTTCCAACGGTTTCCGTGCAGGTGGGGTCTGTGAACACGGGGTACAGAAAGTCGGTGAGCGAGAAGACTTCTTACAAAACCTGAATACTCGGTTAAATAGCTCTTCCTTTGAAAGTAATGTGGCCAAGGAGTCAAGTTAGTTTAAGCTTTTTTACCTCTCTGATACTGGTAATACCACCAGGCGATGTCTAGGAAAAAGTAAGAAAACATTTTACCAAATCCATTCATCAAAAAAGCAAAACACACTTTCATTTTCCAGGGAGCGTCCGCTCCGAGGGAGTCCAGGTCACCGTCCAGCTCGACCCAGGCCAAGAGGTGTTGCAGGGGAGCTGGGCTGACCTCTCCCCAGCCTTTCCCCACCGTGAGAACAGGCAAGAGCGATGGGTCAGCTTGCAGTGCCCGCGGCTCCCAGCAGGGGGCTCACTGAGCATGCCCGCAGCCATGCAGCCATGCAGCC